GGAAATTACATTCCTAGAGACAGAGGAGGGGGGGGGAAATAACCCCATCCTTCTGTTCTAGATATCTTGCTTGAATAACAAGCATAGTTAGCTAACCAGGAAACACAGCAACCTAGCCTGCAAGGCTGCATAAGCAGCAATCCATCACTCAGCTTGACAGCAATCTGAAGCATATGTAACTCAGCACTGAGCGTCCTTGAACTCAATGAGATTTCTTTCCAAGTTATCCTAGTTAATTTTGGTTAGCGCTTGAGTTGCTCTAGCCAAAGCCACTCCTTTTTGTCATATAGAAGACACTGTGACAGCTCTACTACATACATATATATGTATATTTTTTTTAAAAAATGAATTTATTTCAGGTTAGTGACCTTGGTAATAAAGCTGTTTGGCAATTACAACATCAGCACAAACATACGCATGTCCCTTTTCAAATTTCATCATTTCAGATGCCTCCTTGGAAAAAGTCCAAGGCTTCCAGGACCAACCTGTATTATGATGCAGTTCCATGTTTTATTTGCTACGCATTAATGCATCCTTTGTGATGATTATCGATGTAATCAAGTACTGTCCTTGAACATTTAGCTTGTCATAGGAAGCCGAGGAGGTAGGGAAGCAGCAACAACAGGTAATTTTCTCACCCAGAAGCAACTGATGGAAGGGGAACAATTGCTCTGAACTGGACATACAGACAAAACTAGACAACACAGTATCAACAGTAGAGACCTTCATATTTCTAGGTTCTACCATATCACAAGATCTAAAATGGACAGCTAACATCAAAAATGTCATCAAAAAAGCACAACAAAGAATGTTCTTTCTGTGCCAACTCAGGAAGCTCAAACTGCCCAAGGAGCTGCTGATACAGTTCTACAGAGGAATTACTGAGTCTGTCATCTGCACCTCTATAACTGTCTGGTTCGGTTCTGCAACCCAACAAGACAGACACAGACTTCAGAGGATAATTAGAACTGCAGAAAAACAATGGCTACCAACCTGCCTTCCATTGAGACCTGTATACTGCACAAATCAAAAAGAGGGCTGTGAAAATATTTACAGACCCCTCGCAACCTGGACATAAATTGTTTCAACTCCTACCTTCAAAACAACACTATAGAGCACTGCACACCAGAACAATTAGACACAAGATCAGTTTTTTCCTGAACACCATCACTCTGCTAAACAAATAATTCCTTCAACACTGTCAAACTATTCACTAAGTCTGCATTACTATTAATCTTCTCATCGTTCCCACCACCCATCTCCTTCCACTTATGACTGTATGACTGAAACTTTGTTGCTTGTATCCTTACGATTTATATTGATATTATTTCCTGATTGCTTATTTGTAACCTATGACTATCATTAACTGTTGTACCTTATGATTTTTGATGAACATATCTTTTCTTTTATGTACATTGAGAGCATATGCACCAAAGACAAATTCCTTGTGTGCCCAATCACACTTGGCCAATAAAAAATTCTGTTCTGTTCTATTCTATACAGTATAGAAAGCCCCACTTAAAATAAGGTTGAAATATTTGAAATCATCAAATGAATCTATGCCTCCCAATCAAAGGAATACAACTAATGAGTTAAAATATGCATCCAAATGCTAGTTCAGTAGCTGAGGTTTCCCCATACAAGCATCTTATGGAAGTATTGATTTCAATAGACAATAGAAAGACAAATCCATAGGGGAAAAATCCTGCTAATTAGAGATATGCATTATGCCATGATCTTGATATGTTTTGTAGGGGGCATGTACTGCACATGTGGTGGTCTTGGTAAAGGAAATGGGTCTTTTCCTCAGGTCTTACAGTTGCCACATGTTTCCTTGGAAAATGCCCATTCTGAAGTAAGGTGTTGGCAAGCATGAAACTACGACCACTTTTGCATTCAGTTAGGGCCTCCTTAAACACATATTCACCTGGGAATGCATATTGATACAATTCCTACTTTAGAGCAGTAATTCTCAAACATTTCTTCACCACAAACCCCCTTTAAATACCTTTTGGGGCCACGGACCACCAAGACTTAACTCAAGATTTAAATCATAACATTTCTTCAAGGTTTTGTGGATCTGCTGTAATGACACTGGGACTCCCCAGAGGTCCATGGGCCCCAGGTTGAGAACAGGGGTGAAATCCAGCAGGTTCTAACAGGTTCTGGAGAACCAGTAGCGGAAATTTTGAATAGTTTGGAGAATTCAAGAGGAAAAGCTGCCATTGTTTTTTTTCCCAATTTAGGTGTATATAGCTACCTGATAAGAGCTGAAAACATCAGGACAATGAAAGATGGCAACAGAAAAAGATTTTGAAGACCACATCTGGTAGCCTTTTGCATGCTTCTAGCAGAACTATTTACATTGTTACATACGTGCAAATTGTAATGTATATCATGGACCTCAAGCTGGTATAAACAAGATCCGTTCCGACTCAAAGAATTCACAATTCTAATGGCTTATTGTCCTTTGAGTTTAGAGTTTAACCTGAGGAAATTGTTTAGTCACACACACCTGCCAGAATTTACTGGATTGCTAATAATCTAATCTAATCGTAGTAATAATGATTCCAGAAATTTTAGTTGGGCTTATAGAGTGGTTTATACTATGACAGTAATCCACTAGGTCAATCAACATCACTGCTGGACACAAAGAGAGCTGGTAGGCCTTGATAAATGCCATAGATTACATGCCAAAATGCCATAGTGGTGTGGAAAACACTCCATAAAAAACATTCTGAGAATACAAAAATAGATAGATAGATAGATAGATAGATAGATAGATAGATAGATAGATAGGAGGGAAAGTTCCAATTCCAAAAAAAAGGAAAGGAAAGCTATAGTTTATCCCCAGATTTGATCAATGTCCAACTAAAACCTGCCTCCCTCCTCCCCACCCCCCATCTTCTTGGTGTACAGACACAATGAACACAAATATGCCATAATAAAAGTTAAAGATTGGTACAATTAATTGCAGGAAGCCCACTGTTGCCACTGATGCATTTGCTTCAGATTAACCTGTGACATTTTTCTTCTCCCTCGTCTGTCCTCAACTCCAAGTAACCTCAGAACTTAAGTCCCCAAATGGACCCCTCATTGATAACCCGAACCGAACCCAAATGGCAGTTTATTATTCATGACGGTTTAAACAGTGCCAGCTTAAATACTCATTCAAAACTTTACAACCATCTTTTCGTTCAAAACTTTCCCTCTCGTTTAAATTGCTCACCCTGGTCTTCTCAGGGACGTTACCCTACAGCCGCATTTCATTAGGCTGCATAAACGTAGTGAAATCTTTCCCTTCAGAAAGAGATTGTTGGAAGATTCATGAGGTGAATTCAGAAAAAAAGGGGGGGGGTTCAAAACGTCATCATCTTGGGGAAAAGGATGAAAATTGAAGACATGCACGTCGGAGGCAAATGGATCACCCTCTTATAATGGCTAATTGACATTTGAAAGATCTAATGGATCAGTCTTTAGCACAGTGCTGATTATAGTTCTGGACTGCCAATTAAATCCACCCAGTATGAAATCCACTATGCACTTACCTGGCAGCAAATCCCATTACATTCCATTTGATTTGCTTCTGAATAGAGGTGCATAATGTTCAACCTTACTTTAGAAACTCTGGCAGAGCAGAATTTTTTAAAATAATAATAATAATAATAAAACAGCTGTCCAACAGACAGTCTTCCACATCTCACAGAGAGGCAAGCACAAAACTTTGAATTTCTCAATCTTGGGAGACACCCCCCACCCCCCATAAAATCTCCCATATCCTATCTGAAAGGCTTCCCCATTACAAATTGCTTTAGCCCCAATCATGATTAGTCACAGAAAACACAGACAACAGGAAGCACATGGATATGAAGCACATGAGATGGTTGGGGAAGAAAAGATGGACCTTTTTTTCTTTTCATGTGGTTTGGGTTACAATGGTTTGGTTTTGGAGTGCCTTTTGGGAAACCTGCAAGGCGATTACATGGGCTGTGATGTTTTAAATCGTCGTGGGAATGAGGAGTCCTGATTAACTTGTAAAGGATGAGTTAACACTCATGATGTTCTTTAGTTTACGTAAAGAGATTCGCTGTCGATAAAAAGCAGTTTGCCCTACGAGAATCAAGGCAGGAGAGAGAACTGAACCACTGGAGCTAAAAAAAAAAAAATCAGTTAACGGGAGTCAGCTAGCTTTCTTCATAAGCAAAGGCTTGGTAAACCTGATTTAGTTCCCTTTAAAGAGAAATAAAATGCAGCCAAATCAAATATGGCGCCTGAGAATAGAAGGAGGCCAATTTTTAGAAATGGGGATACTGAATCTTTCCTCATTCAGGTCTTTAAAAAAAAAGAACAGAATCTTTGCCTATGGCAGACTGTATTTCAAAAATCCAAATGTTCCCCAAAGGATTTCAAATCGTAAATTGGCGGCCTATACAATCAACTCTGATTTCAGTCAGCCCAGTGGTTCATCTCCTCATATTTTGTAAAGGTATCGCAGAGGAAAAGGACTTGTCACGACCACTGGATGGTTTATACTGTTTAATAGGACATATCTGGTACTATAAACATGGAGACCTTGAAGACAGAAAGATTTCTTGCTTCCTAGCATGATTTTATTCATTTATTTATTTCATTCAGTAAACCTGGAGGTCTCTTACTGCTTCGTGTACTAAATTTGCCTTGCATTGTCCTTATATTACCTACACTCAGGATTGTATCAAAGGTTAGCCTTCCTTGTAATGTTCTTTTTTTTGGAGGAGCTTCTACAAGGACAACGATGCATCTACAAGAATTGATTATTGGATGGTGAATCGATCATGTCACTTTGTATAACAAACCCACGAATGTTATAATTCTAGGACCAAAAAAAAATATTCTTCTGGTTTCTGGACCATACAAAGGCTATTATCTTTCTTCTCCAGTAAGATCTCTTTCTCCTCGTGGTTTTCTTTATTTTCCTATCTCCATCATGTCATATAAAAAGAAAGTAAAAAATTACTTACATGTGTCTGGTTTATGGCAGTTGTGGCCTTGTCGGAAGTATTGTGGGTTTTCAATGACAGGAATCCGGGTCATACCGATCACCACCGTGTCTGGGCCAGTGTCCAACGATGAAGGTGTGGTAATGCCGTGGTTGATGTGATGAAGAGGGCTGGCAGAATCCTCTTCTCCACTGATTACAGCCACGGGACCTAAAAACAAAGAGATACGTCATCATTATCATCATCATCATCATCATCCAAGCATTTTTCCTGCAGGTGAAGAGTCCACTTTTCAGATCAACAACCACCTTCTTGTGTGCTCGAACGCAGCATCTGGAGCTAACTGGGAATTTTACATGTCTGCGTTTATGTTTCCTTGGCATCAGAAGGCTGTGAAAATATTTACAGACCCCTCACATCCTGGACATAAATTATTTCAACTCCTACCCTCAAAACGACATTATAGAGCACTGCACACCAGAACAACTAGACACAAGGACAGTTTTTCCCCGAATGCCATCATTCTACTAAACAACTAATTCCCACAAATTGCGAGCCCTCTCCGTGGGGGCCAACGACTCGTCCCCAATAGTCAGTGATGGCACCAACTGACTATATCAGGATGTCGGAAACCACAGCCACTCGGTCTTGGATGGGTTGAGCCTGAGTCTGTTCCTCCCCATCCAGATCCGTACAGCCTCCAGGCACCGGGACATCACTTCAAGGGCATCATTGGGGTGGTCCAGGGTGGAGATGTACAGCTGGGTGTCATCAGCGTACATCAAAAGAAATGTATCTTTTCTTTTTATATACAGAGCGTATGCACCAAAGACAAGTTCCTTGTGTGTCCAATCACACTTGGCCAGTAAAGAATTCTATTCTATTCTATTCCATTGTATCTTTAAATGCAGAATAGTTGCCACTCTAAATATCTCAAATACGGTGGCTTTCCTGAATTTTCCTTAGGAGCGTAAAACACCATAGAGAAAACTACAGTATTACAAAATAATAGAAATGAACAGGACCTCGGAGATCCTCTAGTCCAGATCCTGTTCAAGCAGGAGACTCTATACCCTTCTGGACAAATGGCTGCCCAGTCTCTTCTTCAAAACTTCCAGTGATGGAGCACACACAGTTTCTGAAGGCTAGCCCTTCCGCGGGTTAATTGCTCTCACTGTCAGGAAATTTCTCCTTAATTCCAGCTTGCTTCTCTCCTTGATTAGTTTCCATCTATTATTTCTTGTCTTGCCTTCTGGTGCTTTGGAAAATAGGTCCCAGATCCACATGTGGGTCCCATATCCACATAGGCAATGCAGTAAAAAGGATGGGGTTGCTATTTCTGAAATGAAATCTGGACTCTTTGGACTCTTTTCCCTGAAAATGGCCTGAATTATCCTGGAAGAGGCATGTAAGAGAGAAAGGATACATTCTTAGCAAACACCCTTTTCCTTGCATAACCCCCTGTGCCAAAATCCCTTCTCCCACCACAAAAATAGTCTATTCCAGTGATGTTCCAGACATCTAGGCTGCATAAACAGAGGGACAGAATCTAGATCATGTGAAGTGTTAGTACCACTTTATAATGCCTTGGTAAGGCCACACTTGGAATACCGCATTCAGTTTTGGTCGCCACAATGTAAAAAAGATGAGGAGACTCTAGAAAGAGTGTAGAGAAGAGCAACAAAGATGATTAGGGAACTGGAGGCTAAAACATATGAAGAAAGGTTGCAGGAATTGGGCATGTCTAGTTTAATGAAGAGAAGGACTAGGGGAGACATGATAGCAGAGTTCCAATATCTCAGGGGCTGCCACAAAGAAGAGGGAGTCAAGTTATTCTCCAAAACACCTGAGGGCAGGACAAGAAGCAATGGGTGAAAACTAATCGAGGAGAGAAGCAACTTAGAACTAAGGAGAAATTTCCTGACAGTTAGAACCATTAATCAGTGGAACAACTTTCCTCCAGAAGTTGTGAATGTTCCAACACTGGAAGGAGAGATTGGATAACCATTTGTCTGAAGTGGTGTAGAGTTCCTGCCTAAGCAGGGGGTTGGACTAGAAGACCTCCAAGGTACCTTCCAATTCTGTTATTTTATTCTAGTTTCCCAATTGAATCTATGGTTAAATCTCTCCATACTGTGTGAAATTAAAGAGTTTTCATCATGTCTTCTGACTGCAACTTGGTGTTCATGGATGCATTCTGCCTGTTTGTCCTATGTAGTAGTTGTTGCAGTCATTACAGTGTATGTTGTAAATGATTCCTGGTTTTTCTTTCTTCTGGAGCTGCTGGGTCTTTTGGTTTGAAGGGCTTTAGTTGACTTATGTGTAGCAATCAGCGTAGCATAAACTTTGCATCATTAAAAGATAAAGGTAAAGTCTTTAAGAAGATTGTGGATAACCATTCGTCTGAAGTGGTGTAGGGTTTCCTGCCTAAGCAGGGGGTTGGACTAGAAGACCTCCAAGATCCCTTCCAACTCTGTTATTCTATTCTATTCTATCAGTAACATCTCCTGTTGTCCTCAGGCAGGACAGAAAGGCTGTTGTAAGACAGACAGACAGTCAGTCAGTCAGTCAGTCAGTCAGTCAGAAAGAGAGGCAGGCAGGCAGGGAGGCAGGCAGGCAGGCAGACAGACACACACACACACACACACAATCCGTGCCTACTCCTGTCCTCATGATACTTAGGATTTAATTGGCACTTGGAAATCAAGACATACACTTACATCCCTCAACTCCAAGATTTCACAGAGATTGCAAAGTCTTCTGCTGTCTGTTTGCAAGAAGCCAAATGTGCAAGGAAGTCCCAGATTCCCAGTAAGAGAAGGAGAAGGAGAAAAGGGACAGAGATCAACACTCTCCTTGGCATTTTAATCAAAAGAGCCTCAATTTGTTAAACCAGAGGAGAGAGAAAAATGATGCCTAGAGTTATTTTTCTTCTGCTGTCTTGAGGCTCTCATTGAGATGAGGAAGAGTCGATGCATTTTCATTTTCGGTGCCTTTCATCTGGATGTATGGGGTGGGTGGGCAACAGAGATTTCTTTCTTATGTCACCTGATCTATTTCAAAGTGCACAATTTCTTTTTCGGGAACATGAGTCAGCAAACAAAAGGGAAGAGCCAAAGTCTATTGTTGAAAAAGGGTTTTCTAAAAACTTGGGCATGGGAAGGGAATAGCAATAGCAATGGACTTATATGCCGCTTCACAGTGTTTTACAGCCCTCTCTAAGTGGTTTACAGAGTCAGAATTTTGCCCCCAACAATCTAGGTCCTCATTTTACCGACCTCGAAAGGATGGAAGGCTGAGTCAACCTTGAGCCTGGTGAGATTCGAACTGCCAAACTGCTGGCAACCAGTGATCAGCAGAAGTAGCCTGCAGTACTGCACTCTAACCACTGCCCCACTGTGGCTCAAACCCAAAACAATGCTTGAGATGCACTGCAGATCAGGCAAAGTGGCGAGCGAAATGCAAAACTGCACATCCCATAATATAGTGGGAATAACACAAAGAACAAGAAGGCTGGGATGAGGTTGTGATATGGAAGGGAAGACCTTTTATGTTCTTTTTTTTCCAGGACTTTTAAAACACCATTGGTGTTTTAATGGAACCTAATAAAGTTACCAAGTAATCAGTCTGATTTCTGGCAGCCATCATCGATATTGGATTCAGAAGAAAAGGATTACTCTCGCCTCATTTTTCCCCCCACTCCCTAATTCCCAACCTTTATTGTAAACTGAATTTGACAAATTTGCATTTCTTTTGCTTTTTTTTTTTGTCCTTTTGACTACAGTTGCTGTTGTCAACATGAGTGATGGATTGATACCCCACAGGAAGTGGCTACCATGGTACGGATGCTGAGCCAATAATCTTTATGAGACTTACAAGATTTCTGTTTGCTCAGCAAGCAGAAGGGAAGCATGCTGGTTGAAAACCAAACAAGATTTCATCAAACACTAGCAAGGTGATGGTCATTTGAGAGCAAGGGTGCTACAAATAAATAGAAGGATTATTGACCTTCTTATAAAATAGATCGGGTCATCTGTGTTTTATAATATTTGTCTCACTCTCAACATAAGGCAACCATAATGGCACTCCCAAACTTTTCCACTACTTAGATTTCCATTAGAGAGGGAAAATGTTCTACAGCTTCTTTCCGGGGATCAGAAGGATGGAGGATAGCAGAATATTGGTACGTGCTAATTTGTAGACATTGACATAAATCCAAAAACAATTAGATTTTTTTTTTCTACAACACACTGGACTAGGCTAAAATGGGTTTCGGTAGTTCTGTGTTTTAATACATTGTAGAGAGCTTGAACATCTGAATATCCAAGTGTTTTCCAGAAAGGACCCCATAGTAAAAAAGAGAGGACACACTCTCCCTTAAATGCAGACACGCATGCATATGTGCACATGCACAGAGAGAGAGAGAGGAGGAGGAAGAGGAGGAGGAAGAGGAGGAGGAGAAGGAGAAAGAGAAGGAGAAGGAGAAGAAGAAGAGGAGGAGGAGGAGGAGGAGGAGGAGGAGGAGATGAGGGGGAGGGGGAGGGGGAGGAGAACAACAAAAACAAAAACAAAAAACAACAACAACAACAGAAGGAGACCACAGTGAAACAAACCCAAAACAATCCATTGCAAATAGACTGTTGGATGGGTGCAAAATTTAAGGCATGGAATGAATAAAATGGAATATCATAGAAAAGGCCATCACTACTTAAGGAAGCATTCACATTGACCTTGAAAACGAGAAATATGTATAACAAAACCAAGTTAATGTTAGGTCTCTGAAACCATTTTTTTCTTTGAAAGATCTTTTCTTGTATGAAACAGTTTTAAGTGAGATGTTCCCAGTTCAGAGATAGTATCTGAAATAGACCCCCAAAGCATAATTCTTCAAGATTTTCCAATGTGAGCTGCAGAAGTGTCTGGATGTCCAAAGAGCTGGTGGAAAATAGAAAGAAGTTTCTGGTGAGTGCTATATGGCAAGCTGACAAATCTCTCCAGAGCAAAGAGAGATTGTTGAGATAACCCAAGTGACTCTGGACAGTTTATATTGGATGTTCAAAAGAGATCTGGTTAAAGTTTTGAAAGATTCTTGGGTCAAAAAAGAGATAAATAGAAAACAAGCTCTGGGACTATATTTGATGGTTAACAATTAAGATTTTTTTTAAAAAAGTTCAGAGATGGAATACAGGGTTGGCTTATTTGACCAAGGT